AAGGATAAGACAGGTCCTGAAGAGCCAGCTCAGTGGGAAGAACAAGATCCATGCCATCAACGCGTACACCCTGCCAGTAATCAGATACCCGGCCAGTATAGTGCACTGGCCAAAGGATGACATGGAGGCTGCTGATGTGAAGACCCGGAAGCTCCTCGCTATGTATGCAAGTTTCCACCCCAAATCCAACACCTAGAGATTGTACACCAGCTACAAAGAAGGCGGGTGAGCAGGGTCTGATGAGCATCAAAGCCACTGTCCCGGATGAAACCCAGAGCATCCAGGAGTACATCAATAAGATGGCACCCAAAGATGAGCTGCTGAGAGAATACCTGAGGCAGCAGCAGACATGGGAGGAAGTTCAAGTGGAGGAAATACCATGGCAAGACATCCAGAAGAGTACAGTGCTAGGAACAGCTAAGATACTGCGCAGAACCGTAAGATGCAGGCAGGAACAGCATATACTGAACAGTACAACCAAGTAGCTGGCATTGTGTATCCAGAAGAGTACAGTGCTAGGAACAGCTAAGATACTGCGCAGAACCGTAAGATGCAGGCAGGAACAGCATATACTGAACAGTACAACCAAGTAGCTGGCATTGTGTATCCAGAAGAGTACAGTGCTAGGAACAGCTAAGATACTGCGCAGAACCGTAAGATGCAGGCAGGAACAGCATATACTGAACAGTACAACCAAGTAGCTGGCATTGTGTATCCAGAAGAGTACAGTGCTAGGAACAGCTAAGATACTGCGCAGAACCGTAAGATGCAGGCAGGAACAGCATATACTGAACAGTACAACCAAGTAGCTGGCATTGTGTATCCAGAAGAGTACAGTGCTAGGAACAGCTAAGATACTGCGCAGAACCGTAAGATGCAGGCAGGAACAGCATATACTGAACAGTACAACCAAGTAGCTGGCATTGTGTATCCAGAAGAGTACAGTGCTAGGAACAGCTAAGATACTGCGCAGAACCGTAAGATGCAGGCAGGAACAGCATATACTGAACAGTACAACCAAGTAGCTGGCATTGTGTATCCAGAAGAGTACAGTGCTAGGAACAGCTAAGATACTGCGCAGAACCCTCAAACTCCCAGGCCTCTGATAGAGGACCCCAGATTGAGGAAGACACATACCACCCATAGGGGTGAGAGGGGAATGTATATAGAAGTAGAGCACAGAAAATGAGGAAAAGTTAAAATATTCAAGATGATGTTATAAATACATGTAATCGATACATCTGCAATGGCATATTTATTTTTCTTAACAGTTCAAATACAGACATATCCCAATTGCAGCTTGAATTAAATAAATTTCAGCTATAGGTTTAGATGTTTACTTCAGTAAATAATTTTTTTGTTAATACTGATAACAAATAAAACAGCTGGTTGCTGTACCTGCTGTCATTAGTTGGTCTTCTTTATATTTAATCTTAGTCCCAGTTTTTTCACTGTGCTCCTTGACTTTAATTATTAGAACTTGCAGATAATTTGCATATTCAGCAATCAAATAGTGTAATCAGCATAGTTCAGGTTTCAGGTAGTCCCTGGCTTAAGAACACCTGGGTTACAGACGACCCATAGTTAAGAATGGAGCCTATTTATAGCAAAATTTGAGTTAAATACACAATGGTTTGAGTTCATTACACGATACTACTTATACAGTATTATATAATAATACTGTTCTGGCTTGCATACAAATTTGATTTAAGGACAGACCTTGGGAATGGAACTCATTCTTTAACTGAGGATTACCTGTATTGATGTTTCTTCCTCCAATTTTAAAAATACACTTATCTTCTTTCAATCCAGCTTTCCTCAATATGTATTCACATATCAGTTGAATAAATAAGGGGAGAATATACAGTGTTATTTTACTCCTTTGCCAACTTGGAGCCAGTCTGATTTGCCATATTCTGTCCATACTGTGACTTCCTGACCTGCATACAGGTTTCACATGGGGACAGTGATCTCAGGAAGTTCTGGGCTTCTTGTTTTTCTAGGCACATTCCACAGTTTGACATGATTGACACCTTTATGTATTACCATTATCAATATTAAAACAATAGTGTACTGTAGTATATCAATAATAGCGTTATTGGTTCAGAAGTGAATCTCATCAACAACATACAGGTAGTCCTCGCTTAATGACCACAATAGAGACCAGAAAATTCATTGTTAAGCAGGGTAGTTTTTAAGCGAGTTACACCCGATATTATGACCTTTTTTGCAGTGGTCATTAAGTAAATCATCACAGCCATTAAGTGAATCACGTGGTCGTTAAGCTAATCACGTAGTTCCCCATTGATTTTGCTTGCTGGAAGCCAGCTTGGAAGGTCACGAATGGCAATCACGTGACCCTGGAACGCTGCAACCGTCATAAGTGCGAGCTGGTTGCCAAGTGCCCAGATCACAATCATGTGACTGCAACATCTTTGTAACATACCTGTTTCAGCAAATCATCAGCAATTGACCATTAAGATAATTCATAGGTGGTGCCACCTATTGCACCACAGAAATTGAAAATTTTCCAGGTTGTGTTGATGTGTTTATAAACAAATTGGCTTCTATTGCTATATTCCATGCTGAGAATTCCTAATTTTGATAAAAAAAATATTAAGAAATTAACAGGCTTTTGGAATTACAGTTGGTTTTACTGTGTGTGTTTCTTAACTCATATAAATTGATACGACATAAACAGTTTTTACTGGTAGGTGATAAATCTGTTATCGTAAAACCAAATAAGTACACTTTCCACTGAATAAGTGGGATTAAAAGTATGGGAAATTGCTTTGGCAGTTTTCTCAAAAGCAAACTGTACATACTTGGAATCCCACAGCAACACTGGGATTTCTGTCTTAATTGCAACTTCTTTATCTAAAAGAACTTATCTGTTAGATGTACTATGTTTACAGTAGCTACTAACGTCCAATCATCTGTACCCATTGAGAAAATGCTTTTTTCTCAAAAAAAAAAAAAAAAGTACAATTTCAGCTGTTCGTCTATTAGCTGAGCAACAGGAAACTGGGAAAATAATCAGTTTGATTGAAATGAGATTCATTTATTGTCTCTTTGGTTTTATTTTCTCAGCTTCAACAAGTCAACAGCCAAAAAAGCAACTTGCATCCAAGGTAAGCATTTGCAAATTTCTTATATTCCCCACAGGTATGTCTCTAGCACAGATCAGGAGTAACTCAATGTTCCTATTGCCATTATTGCAGAGTAGGGTGGATTAGGAGTCCTTCGTTTCTGAAAATTTTTTGAGTAGTTTCTAGGTTTCTGTTTCTTAAATTACTAGCCCACTAATCCTTTTCTTCCCACCAGTGATTCATTTTTCAATGAATATTCATGTGCTATGTATACTTCTTTAGTGCTGCCATTGACTCAAACAACACTTATCTATAAATATGCTATCCTTCTTTTTTTCCAAAATGATTTTCATATTGAGGCATTCCAAAGGGAGAAAAGGGAGAAAGGATTGAGGGAGAAAAGGGAAGAGGAAGCAGCCTCTGAGCTTCCTTCGTGATGACCAGGTGGACTCAAAAAACAGCCACTGAATTATATGATGTAACATAGCATGGCATCTTTATTTCAGTTGTAGACCATAATAAATTGACTTAAAACTACACAGATATAAGGACTAGAGCCATTTCAAGCAGGAAATGAAATGTAATGAAAAACACTAGTTTTAAGTTCGGTGAATAAAATTGTAATGCTAATACTAAGCTGTGTAAGCAATAAAATATAGCCTGCAAGATAAACAATTAATAAGCTGTATGTCTAAAACTAATCAGAAACTTGGCTCTAACTTATAGAATATGAAAATCTATGTAATATTATCTCACACATTACAAAATTCGCTTTTTTACATACTTAATTAGGTCCTGCTGAGATTTATAAGTTGCAATACAAAACAAAGGCATTCTGCATGTTATTGAGGGTTTGTAAGCATTTGCCAGTATGCCTGATTAGCTTGTTCTCACAATCTTGAGAGTATTAGCAGGATAAAAATATTATGTGTGTCTCTGTATAGCAGGCTGTCAAGTCCACAAAATCCAAACCCCAATTTAGAAGAATTCTCGTGAAACCAGGCCTGGTT